CCTTCCCCTTCCGAGAGGCTACAAAATTCCTGGTCAATATTTAAGGCTTAGCTCATTTAGGTGATAGCACAGTGGTTAAGAGTGCCAGACCTGGAGCTAGACTGCCTGAGTCTGAAACCAGCTCATACTAGCTGTTATAACCTTGGGCAAGTTATTTAATTTCTCTGAACCTCAGTTCTCCTTTCCAAACTAGGAGAGTAGCAGCTACTTAACAGGGATTTGAGAACTGAGTTAATATATGGAAAGTACCTGGCCCACAGTAAATGCTACATAGGTATGTAGCTATCATTGTCTTCACTACTTCACCTTCTCCCAAAGGCAAACACTCCCTCCTTTGTACTCCCATGGCACTTTATCTGTCACCATACTGTGATGGTTTTAGGGCAGGAACTTTCCATTTTTCCTTTGCCAACATTCATCTTCTCATCCTCTGCCAACATAATCAATGTCACATTTTTATCTAAAATAACTATCAATAAATTTGGAATATGCTCAAACTAAATGCTGTGTAGGTACAAAGGAAAATGCAAACATCTGGCCAAGTCTTCAAAAATAAATCAAACTTCAAGTGGAAAAAAAAAGGTGAGGAAAAAAAGCACTCTACCACATTAATAAGCATGCATAAAACAGACATTAAAGTGCCTGGGCAATGACAAGCAGACCAGAATGTGTCTAGCAGGAAAGATATACTGAGAAATGAAGCCAGCCTGAAAGTGTCATGAACGGTGTTTAACGCTAGCCCAAGGAGTTTGAACCTTACTGCAAGAAGAACTGGGTCCAAGAAAATACTTTTGACTAGTGTCGTTATATGATTTAGTCATTGAAAGTTAGGTAACTTTAAATAATGTGAAGCCTGGATTGGAAGGCAGACCGAAAGGAGACACAGACCAATGACGGCATTGCTACAATCCAGGCAAGAAATAGCAAGGACAAGTGGGGCCAGACAAATAGAGATAGGATAAGCAACATTTTTGAGATGAAATTAACTGGCCTCAGGGACGCCTGGGTCGGGTAAGTGTCTGCCCCCTGCTCAGTTCATGGTCCCAAGGTCCTGGGATTAAGTCCCTCATTAGGCTCTTTGCTCCGCGGGGAGCCTGCTTCTCCCTCTGCCTTCCACTCCCTCTGCTTGTGCTCTTTCTCTCTGACAAATAAATAAAACCTTTAAAAAAAAAAAAAATTAACTAGCCTCAGTGACTATTCTGATATGGAGATGAAGGACAATTCAGAGGTTTCTTGCTTGCATGACTGGAAAATGATAACATGACAAAGATAAGGAACAGAGAGGGAGGAGCAAGGTTAGGAGTCCAGGAGAGGTGTAGTTACTCCACCTGAAGTAATTTTGAAAACAATAAACATATTATTTAGAATTAAAATCAAATGCTAAGAGAATTATGCCAACACACTGGCACCCACGGCTCTTATTTAACAAGCACATCAGAGCAAAATGTGTCCAGTTCAAAGGGCTCATTTGTTTACTAAATAATATGTTACTGTCCTTCATTTTGGGGAAAAAAAGCCTATTATGTAGAGGTATGGCTGAAGAGTAGCCAGTAATTTTCAATATTGTGTATTTCTTAAAGCCTGCTTTTTAAGTTTTTCACAAAACAATATTTTTTTAAGGCTATAAGATTCTCTTCTGTTCCAAAAATCATGATGAAAATTTAAGGCTGCTTAAGAATGTATTTAAAAATATAGACTTTAATTTTGCTTACTTGCTGCTCTGTATGAAATGCTTACAATTATTTTTGAATCTGTGATTTATATAAAAATTCCTATTGATACATGCACTTCCTGCTTTTTCTCTCTCAAGAAAAAGGCTGAACAAGGGGCACCTGGGTGGCTCAGTTGGTTAAGCGACTGCCTTCGGCTCAGGTCATGATCCTGGAGTTCCCAGGATTGAGTCCCGCATCGGGCTCCCTGCTCAGCAGGGAGTCTGCTTCTCCCTCTGACCCTCCCCCGTCTCATGCTCTCTCTCTATCTCATTCTCT